CGCCTAGTAGGCTGGCTTTTGTGGATCTCCCGCCTTGGCCTCTCTCTCTCCCCTTCATTGCATAGGGAGCTGAGGAGCCAAAATCGGCTTTATGGAGCAGGGTGTTTTCCCTGGATTTTTTAGCTGCTTATAAGTTAGGTGCAGTGATGGTGGAGTTCTTCCGTGGATCCCACCCTGCCCTGCTCCCTGTCAGGGTGAGCATCCGCCTGCCCTCTGACACATCCCGCTACAGAGCTCCTTTCACTAGCGGCTTGGTTAGTGCAAGCAATAGGATGAGCTAATCACCCTGGATTATTTCCTCCTGCCTCACACCCCTCATTAAGCATCACTTTATTCCTTTGCCAAGTGTAAACTCCCTGCCTGGGTTGTCACTCAGTTCACAGCTCGCTGACACCTCCAGGTACTAAGCAGGCACAGAGCCGGGATTAGACATACAGGGGAAGCGACTTTGAAGAGGAGGCAAGATTCAAACAGGAGGCCCTCTGCGTGCCAGCGAGTTCAGCTGTCAGGAGAAATAAATGGCCCTGGTAGCTTTGCTGGCAGAAGACAGAGCGATGCCCCGTAGAGTGGTTACGGCGAGCTCTGGCTGCACAGTGAGCAGCCGTGGAGCGGAATCTAACCCGACAGTCTATTACTGCCATGTGGGAAGTCAATAGACGGAGTCTAACGCGCTCCTTCTCAAAAGCAGAAGGCAGCGAGCAATCTGGCAAAGGGCCCTGCCAGCGACTTGATGGCTATACCGCTCCTGCCTGCTTGCCGCGATTGCAGTTGCAGATGTGGCAGCAGCACGGGCTGGCAGCGCCATGCTACCTTTTGTCTAGCAACCGTGGCAACACAGAAGAGTGAAGACGTAGTGCAATGGGCTTTGGCCCAGGTGATCAGTGCAGGCACATGCCCCGCGTTCCTAACATGCTTGTACAGCCTGCTCTACTGCTCTTTTTAGCTGCGCAGGCAGGATGAAAGCTGGCAGTGCTATTCCAGCTCATGCTGCAGTCACTCGCCTCTCTGACTGCAGTATAGACGCACGCTAAGGAGGTACAGTTCTGTATCTTTGCCCTATATCCGTCTGTTTCTTCCTTTGGAAGTGGTCAGACAAGGAGGGACAGATCTTCAAAGGTGCCAAAAGGCAGATACGGGACTTTGTGTGATATTGAAAAGCAGGCATCTGTCATGGAAATCAATAGGAGTCAGGTGCTTAGCAGGCTTAGGCACTTTTAAAATTCACAGGAGGGCCCTATTTACATCATCAGAAACTAAATATCTTAGTAAATCTGGCCCTTATGGCTTGATTGATAATCCAGGCCTGTGTAGATCTGCACAGATGACGCCATGGCATTTCATACTGAATTCAAAACGGTGTTTAAAGAACGTCGGCCAAGAACACATAGGCCCTATAGGGCAAAGGAAAGGAGGATAATAGATTTAAAGGAAAAGATTATCTCTTTCAAAGAAAAGGTACAAAAAATGCAACTTTCTCCCTCCAGAGTATAAATCTTACTTTCTGCATTTTCCTTTTGTAATTCAAATAGTTGGGCTAGTGATTGTTACCTAGACTCTCATCAAAGTCTTTTAATATAATATATAAATATTGCACTTCAAAAATAGATACATTTATATGCATGAACATTACATGGGTGACCTAAAATTATTAGTGAATAGGCTTGGTCAGTTAGGACCGATTTTCTAAGAGATTCTAAACTAGCTTTGGAAAAATGGTGTCTGTGTTATTTTCCCACAGGCACCTATAATCTCATGCAGATTAAGCAGCTAGCTGGACACATGGGATGAAATCCTGGCCCAAATGAGGTCAATTGCAAAATTTCCATTGATTTTAATGGGTCTGGTATTTTAGCCCTGGTTACTAGATATTCACACGTGTATACACACACAGATGTGCCGGGAGTGGGGGGCGGAGACAAGTGCCCCATTTTGTTGTATTGTGTTTGCAAATGTGTCCCTAAATATCAAAACAGCAAGCGACTGGTTTGCTGTTTGTAACATTTAACCTAGGCATGTATTTGTACACTGGTAAGACATAGTCAGAGCCTCTAACTTAGCCACACTTCCTGTCACCAGTAAAAAGGAGAGTGTAGGGGGCAAAAAACCTAATTGCTTAGAACAGATCCTCAAAATCACATGGTTCAAAGTATTGCTCTAAGGGTGTGTCTAGACTACAGGGTTTTGTCGACAAAAGTGGACTTTTGTCGACAAAACTATACCTGCGTCCACACTACCGCTGAGTTCTGTCGACATAACGTCATAACGACATAACTCAGCAGTTTTGTCGACGCTGGTAAACCTCATTTTACGAGGCATAACGCCTTCTGTTGACAGAGTTTCTGTCGACAGAAGGTGTTATTGCATGTAAACTGTCCTTTGCGTCCACACTACCATGTCGACAAAGCAGCTTGCTTTGTCGACAGAACTCAATGTAGTCTAGACGCTCTTTGTCGACAGAAGTTTTGTCGACAGTATCTGTCGACAAAACCTCTGTCGACAGAAGCCTGTAGTCTAGACGTATCCTTAGTTCCTGCAGAGCAGATCCTGCAAGGTGCTGACCATCTGCCAAAGTCCTGACATCAGAACTTGGCCCCCGTTTATTCTTCACAATCATTTTGCCTCCCTTTAATTGCTAAGCAGTTGCAAGAGGTTAAAGACACACCACATATTTTGGAGCTTTATACCTTCCCCTTATTCATGCCTTTTGTTTTGAAGTTGGGTAGTGTTGAACTGGTGGCGCTACCGCTTTGAAGTGGCACACCTGCAGATCGAGGATGGTGTTCAAAAGGACCAGAGATTCAGGGCATGTCTCCACTAAGAAATTATTTCAAAATAACTTATTTTGAAATAATAACTCCTGAAATAATAATTTTGAAATAGCGTGTCCACATTATGGAGGAGCCTCAAAATTAGTTCAAGGCAGGTTCCCTTAATGTGGACATGATAGCTTGACTTAGCGCCCCAGGAAGCACTGGGAGTAATTAGTCTGAATGACTCTGGGGAGTAGTTATTTCGAAATAGCAGCACCGGAGTGTCCACACTATTGCTACTTCAAAATAGCTATTTCAAAATTAGCATTATTTCTCGAGGAAAGCAGGAGTTATTATTTCAAATATGTAGGGTATGTCTACATTGCATTCCTCCTTCAAGAGAGAACACAAATACAAACAAAATTGCAAATTAAGCATGGATTTGAAATGCTTCATTTGCATAATTGCAGCCAGCCGCTTTTTCAAAATACTCTATTTTGAGATAAAACATGCTGTTTAGATGTGGTTATTTCAAGAAAAAACCCTTCTTTTGAAATAACCCTTAAACCTCATTTTTTAAGGAGTAAGGGTTATTTCGAAAGAAGGTTTTTTTTTTCCAAAATAACCTCATCTAGACTGTGTTTTTTCTTTTGAAATAGGGTATTTCGAAAAAGCGGCTGGCCACAATTATGCAAATGAAGCACGGAAAATTCAAATCTGCGCTTCATTTGCAATTTCGCTCGCCTACATTTGCATTCCTCTCTTGAAAGAGGAATGCAACGTAGACATACCCGTAATGTGGATGTTCTGCTTGTTATTTCGAAAAAAGGGGAGTTATGTTGAAATAACACCCTCGTGTAGTCCAGGGCTCAGCGGGGTCCAAGGATAATGTCTGATCGGGTCAATCTGCAAATAAGAAGGCTCTAGCTCCATGTAGTGCTCCACTGTGCACTGATTAGGCCTCAGTTGGAGCATTGTGTCCAGTTCTGGGCACCACATTTCAAGAAAGATGTGGAGAAATTGGAGAGGGTCCAGAGAAGAGCAACAAAAATGGTTAAAGGTCTAGAAAACAGGAGCTATGAGGGAAGACTGAAAGAATTGGGCTTGTTTAGTTTGGAAAAGAGAAGACTGAGGTTACAAGGAGGAGGAAGAAAAACAGTTCTCCTTGACCTCTGAGGATAGGACAAGAAGCAGTGGGCTTAAACTGCAGCGAGGGAGGTTTAAGTTGGACATTAGGAAAAACTTCCTGTCAGGGTGGTTAAACACTGGAATAAATGGCCTAGAGAGGTTGTGGAGTCTCCATCATTGGAGATATTTAAGAGCAGGCTGGACAGACATCTATTGGATGATTTGGGAACCACTGATCTAGACAGTGCCCGGTCCTGCCAGGAGGGCAGGGGACTGGACTTGATGATCTCTCGAGGTCCCTTCCAGTTCTAGGACTCGATGATTCTAAGTGGGCATAGAAAGTCCACAGGGCACAGCAGGAGCTTTTGCGGGTCTGGGGTTGTTGAAGCAAAAGCGCCAGAGGGACCATGGAAGATGACAGTAATTTCTGGAAAGACCAAGAGAAAAAAAACCCAGATGATTTCACTTCTTCAACAAAGGGCATTTTTAAACACTTTGGTCAGGGCCAGATTTATGCCATATGCGCCACTAGGAACAGCATCTTTAATGGCCCCCTTTCCGCCACCGACAGCTGACCTTGGTGTTGCACACAGTTTTAGAGAGGTAAGGTGCCGCTAAAATGCCGGTGCCCTTAGTCAAGTAGCTGCCATGCCTGATTGGAAATCCAGCCCTGTCTTTGGTTCTTATTATCTCTTGTTGCTTTTTTTACCCTTCTGTGCATTTTCGTAGCCCAACAAACCAACCAACCAAAAGTAGCTTGTAAATAAACAGAAAACCTAAATCACAATAGCAACAGATGCTCCAGTGCATGTGTTATTGAACAACTTCTCAGGTAGGACTCTACTTGCAGCTTTGCGCCTCCTGGTGGACACAAAACGGCTCAACTACCCAACACCGTCTGGTGCATGTTAGGGTGCGTCTACACTGCACACTAAAATCAAAACAAGATACGCAATTTGCGCTATGCAAATTGCATATTTTATTTCAATTTTATTTCGAAATAGCCTATTTCGAAATTTGGTGCATCTACATGGTGCCAATTTTTGAAATAAAGTGCTATTTTAAGCATCCCTTATCCCTCGTGCGATGAGGTTTACAGGGATGGTGAGATAGCATGTCCGTTATTTCGAAATAGCGGATGCTTTCCTTGCAATAGCATTGCAGTGTAGACGTACCCTTGGTGTGCTTCAGCCATCATATACATAGGAACTCTTCAGGGGTGTGACCCAAATCCCACTGAATCAATGGAATTGCTCTCATTAACTCTAATGAGCTTGGGAGGGGTTAATGGTGTAGTTAGGGCACTAAGCTGGCACTTCCATACCTCCCTGGGCTGTTGTGAGGCTACAGTCCAGTAGCAACGTGCATGGTACGGAGGACCATGCAAGAACCTGTTCAGAAAGATGGGTCTCAAGCCCCAAAGAAGACAGATTTGTGGTTTCCTTGTAACTTCCCTTCATTAGGACAGCAGAAACAAGTGGCTGGCTCCGCTACAAACCATTTGCGATGTATGAAATCTCATTCTCAAGCAGCTCCTTGCTAATTTGGTTACTTAGTCTTCTGAACAGGACTTCAGAGGAGAACTACTGCAACTTGTCTTAAAAACAACATCCTAGTGTCTATATAGCAGTAGTAACAGACAGTGAAGTCTGCCGCGGATGTGGAGTAACTAGGGCACATTTAGAAAACCTGCTATGCAAAATAAAAGTATTGGCCAAGGTTATCAAGAATGACTAGTGATGTTGGGAGCCCACCTAGAGATAACTTAAAGGGGCCTGATTTTCAGATCCGGTTCAAAAAAAAAAATCTGACCCTTTAAGATGGTTCATGCTGGGCATCCCAAAAATGGTGGTGCCCAAAATCAATGGTCATATTTCAAAATCTTGTCCATTAATTTTTGCATAATTCTTAAAAAGGAGGAATTGTGGTGAAAATATGAATGTCAGTGTTGTGGAGTGATTATTTCAGAGTTGATTGGCTTGGCCATGCTGTTTCTGCAGATGACTTAAAATCTCTCAGGCCACGTCTGTACTTACATGCCAGAAATGGATCTTCTTTTAGACCAGCTAAATTGAACACTGAGGCACCCCCTGTCGATACTGGCACTCCTCGCAGTCATGAGGAGTAAGGAAAGCCAATGAGAGTGTTTGGTCCCACTGACCTCCCCCTGTGGAGATGGCACCAAGCTCGGCTTAAGAGATGTCAACTCCAGCTACGTTATTTACATAACTGGAGTTGCGTACCGTAAGCCGACTTTCTGGGTCTAGTATAGATCTGGCCTAAGATAAACTTGACCGATTGTCATTCAGCTGCTTACATTCTCCAGAACCCGGACTACATTATGTTAGACATTTTGGGCCAAATTCAGCCCCAACTCCAGCAATGTCATGAAGTTAGAACAAAGGATGCGTTTGGCTCATCCTGCCAATTGCCACGTTCACCATTAGTGACCGGCTTTATGTGCAATTCTTCAATTTACTCCCCCCTCCACCACTTAGTGCCAATGAAAATAAGAGCAGTTTTACTTAGAAGGAACATTAACAATAACAGTAAGAGTTTTTAGTCTCAGAAATCTAAATTTTTACGACAGGGAAGCTCTAGACAATTGTTAATAGCCGTTCCCTCCACGCTCAAACCTTCTTGTCATGTTCCACAGCAGGGATCGTTTCCTCCTGCAGTCCACTCCAGAACAACATTCAAAATGCCCTCAGCAAGGTTGCCTTCCCACTCTCCTGCCCCACCGCCCCTTGAGATACGGCAGCCATTCCATGATCACCCTGGAATCCTAGACGAGTCAGATTGTATCTATCTCCTTGAAGGAATCACACTTTCCTCTCCAGGACTTTACTTCTTGATGGGTTGACTGCGACAAAATCTTTGTAGGCCCCCGTCTCTCTTTTGGTATAGCCAAATTCATTTTCTGCCTTTAGCAACCACACGCTTCCTTTTTCTTCATTTTTACTCCACACCTTTTGAATTCCTGGGGCTGGATCCATGGTGTTTGCCTTGCTCACCCTTCGAGGACTTGGGTTTGGCTGAAGGCTTAGTGCTTGTACCTTCGTCTTGCTCTTGGGATTGAAGACGGGAGGGCTTCGGTAGACTGTAGCTTGCAGCAGCACTGTCATTCAGACCGGCCCCTGCTTTGCTAAGGGCTTGGGGTTTGGGCTCAGATTTCTGGCGATGGGGAATGTGGTGCCTTTTAGTGTACAAAAAAAGTGCTGGATCGGGCATGGGGTCTGCCTCTTCACAGCTGCTCATCCTCTCCCTCTGGAAGGAGTCCTTGGTGGTCCCCTTGCTATAGGAGCAGTCGGTCACCAGCCTCCGAATGTGAGACTTGTGGACACGTTTTTTGGGCCTCGCCTCGCTGAAAGACTGTGTGGGGAACGGTTTGTCCGGAAGCCCATCGGAGGGGGGCTTGCCCCCCTGCCGGGACACATGCAGTTTCTGTTTGGTGGCATGCAGCTGGAAGGAGAGATAAGCAGCGGCCTCCGTCTGCTTCTGCAGCTCCGTGTTCAGAATAGTCACCCGGTGGCTCCTTCTTTTCAGCTCCTCCAGGAACTTCCTCTCCTTGTTCCTGAGGCTGCATCTCAGCGCGGCCACCAGGCTCTCCTTATGCGTGAGCTCTTTCCTCAGCACCAGATTATCCTTCTCCTTTTCCTGCAGCTGGGCTTCCATGATCTGGCACTTCTTCTCCAGTTCCCGGTCGATGTCATCTAGGGAGAAGAGGACAAGAGTCAGTGCTCACAATGACGCTAGCAGGCTGCAGTGAAATGAACTAGAAGGGAGGGGAAGGACTGGACAGGGTGGCTTAGGGCCTATATGGAGCCTTTCAACTCTTCGTGTAGGTTGCATCCAAAGTGAGGGACCCAATAATTATGCAGGAAACTGAAAATGCGGAGTCCCATTTCCCTAGTGCAATGGTGGGCAATCTAGGCTAGTGAAAGGACTACACAAGTGGCCCTCCTTCCTCTGAGTGGGATAATCTTACCCAAGACAGTCTCCTAGGTGAAAGTGGTTTTGCTCACTGTGCTGGCACACCTAGAATGGGTGGGGCAGGCCCAACGAACCGCAGCAGCGCTCCGATTGGCTGCAGAGGCAGCGCACCGTCAATGTGGTGAGTCATCAGCATGCACCTGGCTTCCCTGGCCCTTGCTTTATGAGCAGGGTCCTACCACCATCACGGTCTGTTATGGCCAATTTCATGGCCAAAGGACTTGAAAATGGATAAATGTCACGGTTTCAGCGGTTGAAACCTGACAGTTCACAGGGTTGTGACTGTAGGGTCCCGACCCAAAAGGAGAATGGGGGGCGGGTCACAAAGTTATTGAGGGGGAGGGGGTCATGGGATTGCCACCCTCACTTCTGTGCTGCCCTCAGAGCTAGACTCTGAAGGCAGCAAGTGCAGAACTTCCTGCAGCCATGGGAGGTTCCAAGAGGTGGGTCCGATCTCCCCTGTGTGGCTGGGCTCCTCACTGCTAGTCCTGCCTGGCTTGGGAGGGGACAAGATTTGCTCTCTCTGCACTGCTGCAGGAAGCTCTGCACCCCCTTCCCCACACTCAGCTGCAGGAACCTCAGGCTGCTGCCTCGTCCCACACAGTAGGGCAGGCACTCAGAGGTGGGTCTGTTCTGGTCTCCTCCTCCCACCACCAGAGTGTTTTGCAGGGGCAGGACAAGTCCTGTCCCTAGGTCTGACTGGGCAGTGGAGGAAGCCCCCTTTGAGGGGGCGCTCTTAAGAACAAGGAGATGCCAGTTTCACAGGGAAGAACTTATTGCACAGTCAGTGACACATTTTCCACAGCTGTGAAAGTGGTAGGGCCCTATTTCTGTGCACGGCCCTCTAGTAATATTGGTAGGAAAAAAGTGACATGGATGCAAACCATCCGAATCTAGCAACCCTGCGCATCTAGGGCCACACCTAGAACCCCCATGGGCCGCGTGCCTAGTGCAAATGACTCTTTTATACCTTGTGTCATGATTTGCCATGTAAACAATTTTCAATGCTAGAAGTAAGGGGGTGCTAAAATTGTGTGGTGCATAGATACCTCTGGCACTAAAGGGGCTCATCTAGATTATGCTAGAGTGTCGAAAGGGGATATGCAAATTCCCTTTTTCCGATCTCACTTTCGAAAGCAGAGCTTTTGAAAGTGAAAGTAATTTAGACGTGGCTTTTTTGGCAAACCTCCCCCTCCCCCGCCCCGTCGAAAAGCTGCGTAAACCTCATTTTTGAGGAAAAGCGGCTTTTCGACAAAGGGGGGGAGGGGTTTGCCGAAAAAGCCGCACCTAAACTACTTTCACTTTTGAAAGCTCCGCTTTCAAAAGTGAGATAGGAAGAAGATATGCAAATTCCTCTGGAATTTGCATATCCTCTTACGATACTCTAGCATAGTCTAGATGAGCCCAATTACAGCAACATATCCCTGGAAAGGAGGACTATGTCCCTGACCCCTAATTTAAACATAAGCCTGATCCAAACACAGTAGCTACGTCTACACTACGAGTTTTCTCGGCAAAAAATATGCTAATGAGGGACTCATTTGTATGAGTCGTTATCTCATTTGCATATTTTCTGCAGATCCTTTTTTTTGCTAGTTTTTTTTCCCCCCGAAAGATTGATAAACCTCCTTTTTTGGGGCATAAAGATCTTGTGGGAAAAGGGGCTTTTGTGCAAAAAGAAAACATCCATACTGCTTGTTTTTGCACAAAAACCCTAGCGAAAAAACGGATTGGCAAAAAATATGCAAATGTGATCGCGACTCATGCAAATGAATCCCTCATTAGCATATTTTTTTGCCAAGAAAACTCATAGTGTAGACATAGCCAGTATCTGGTTTCCATTTCGCCTGTTCTCCCTTAAACGTATCCTATTCCCAAGTGAAACCAGAGCCTTCAGTCTGAAGGCAGCATCTTAGGAAGCAAGCCTGCTTGAGATGCTGAATAGAATGATCATTTATGAACAGAAGATATTATGCTTTGGTGGGACAAGTTTATCCTGCCCTTGTGTGTTCACAGCGCTGACCTCGGAGCTGAGCCCTGCAGCAGCGTTCATGGGTCGGAGAAGAGGAGGAAAAAAAATCCTGTAAGACAATCAGCTAAACTTATTAGCAGGTGTTATTGACCTCTTTCCGGATCCTCCACCACCTGATTAGAGAGAATGCAGAGTGTTAATCCAGGATTACAGAGGAGCTAGGAGCATGGTTGACTGAGAACCTAAAGAGGAAAAAAAACCCCACACATTTAAAACAACTCAGGCTGTACAGAAATGCTGGGCATGTGTTTGCTTTGAGACTGAACCTACTGTACCCAGAGAGAGCTGGAGAAACTGCTCCCCATGTCACTACCAACCTCCATGTTTCAAGGCACAAGCCGGCTGCTAAGACTGCCTCTCTGGCCAGGTTATTGGCCATTACTGAGATTCCTGCACCTTCTTTTGAAGCGCCTGGTTCTGGGTACCATCAGAAACAAAGCACCTTAGCTAGCTGGACCACTGGTCTGATCCTCTATGGAAACTCCCATGGTTCTATTAGCCTGTTACTGGCAGGGTCTTTGGTAGCAGTTGCTCTAGGGCTTTTGGTTTGATTAGGTTTTGCATTCATGGTTATTTTCCACTGTCTATGAAGGAACTGAAGATTGCACTCTATCCTTATTAACCGGACCGGGATTTTCAAAAGAGCCTAAGGGAGCTAGAAACTTAACCCTAAATCTCTTTGGTTCCTCTGAAAATCCCAGTCTTGATGAACTCAGTTGCTTGCTTTTGACACACACACAGCCCCTCATCAAACAGAGGGGCTCAGTCTTTGTTCTGTTTTGTTTTCAGATTAGAGGGCTGACCCCATAATAATTTTTGGTGCCCTCTACTGGACCTTCTCCAGTGCATCCATGTTCTTTCTGTAATGGGGAGGGGGCAGAATTGGACGCCATACTCCAGATAAAACAAAGATAGAAGCCTCTTTACATGAATGTTTGTTGTTAATATTCAGTGTGTTTACTTTTGGACCCCAATGTCAAGGATGAAGTCTAGGTTGGTTATTAGGAAAAACTATTTTATGAGAAGGGTGGTAAAGCACTGGGATGGGTTCCCTCTGGAGGTGGTGGAATCTCCATCTCTAGAAGTTTTAAAGTCCCAGCTTGACCAAGCCCTGGCTGGGATGATTTAGTTGGTGTTGGTCCTGCTTTGGGCAGGGAGTTGGACTAGCTGACCTCTCGAGGTCTCTTCCAACCCTAATCTTCCTTGATTCTATGATCATCCTAGCAACAGACCAGACTGGCTCTCCATTCTCTGATGCTCATTTTAGGCCAGCGTGTCCAGTGAAGTTGCGAACGTGGCACAGTGCAGCCTTTGACGCCAAAGACGAGGCAGTCAGACTGACACCCAGGAAGGCGAATAAAAAGGGCAGGATATTAAAGAAAAGAGAGAGAGAGAGATCTGTGTCATCAAACACCCTAATCACCAGCGCACAGCAGTTGCTTAAAAATATTAATGGTGTCAGGCCGGAGACGTGTTCGCAATCTCTCGCAGAGGTAATGACATAATCTTCCTTTGTCTCAACTCGCCTTCAGTTACATTAACGAGGGAGGGGGGAGGGGAAAGAACGATGGAGTGTAAACACAGAGCGAGAGCCAGTTTCTGCTCCTCAGGGTTGGATGGGTGTGATGGAAGGCAGAAATTAACCCATTCTCTGCAGATTCACAGCCCAGGTATTTTAAAGTTCTCCCAGTACCATCTGCCCTTCTGGGTAGTGACTATTTGCCGTGGAAGAGGTTAGCAATGATGAATGTTTAAGAGTGGGATGCTGTCATCTCCCCCCTAACCTTTATTCTCCCTTCCAATCAAGGCCCGGAGGCAAAGCCCTAAGACCCAGCAGCTGAGACCCAGGGCATGGGTTGGCAGCAGAGCCCCCAGCACACAGGGCCAGCAGCCGGGACTCCAGGACCAGAGCCAGCAGCAGAGTTTCCAGCGCACAGGGCAGCAGCGGGGAGCAGAGCCCCTGAAGCGCAGGATGGCGGTTGGGTCCCTGGATGCAGGTCTGGCAGCAGAACCCCAGACCTTGGGTGCTAGGTCAGGGACCTGGGGGTGCTGCAACATCCCATCCCCATAATTCCCGCGCCTATGGCCGTCGCTGGTAATTCGGTAGCAGCACTAGGATTTTTTTTTCACGGTAGTTCTAGTCACAACATGATGGGCCCCGTATCATTTTTCAAAGCATAAGCAGCAGAAGGGATAATCCATTCTGGGGCTGATCCGAGTGAACGCTGTCAGGAGAATTTTCTGCACATGGGCAGTTTGACATGGGCTCTGGAGGTTTTTCGCTGGCACTTTGCAAGTTGCAGGGAAGTACGGGGCAGAGCCCAGGTCTCTCCTTTCTCACCTCCACCCTCAGACAGGCTTCCAGCAACCCTCCCCGCCCGATTACTGTCCTAGTCCCCAAAGCAGATGCTGCTCTGAGATTCAGATCCAAAATGGGACTCCTAAATCCCTTTCACATCCACTTGGACTGGCCGCCTGCCAGTGAATGTGCCACACCTAAGTCAGCTCCTTCAAGGATTCAAGCCAAATTGATGTACCAGCAGGGCGCGGCTTGTTCTCTAGAGCCTGCAGAGCAGGCATGTCCAAAGTCCGGCCCGCGGGCCAAATGCGGCCCGCGGTCGGATTTAATACGGCCCCCCGCTTCTCCCGGCTCCCCGGTGTTTTTTTAACTGGCGCGCTCAGCGCGCC